GGTTTTCGGGCCACTATTTTATCTACATGTTGGGAGTCCAGGTAGGGCGTACGGGAATTGTTTCATATGTCAACTTTGCCATGTCGGCCCACTCAACCTAAGCCCCACGCATCAAGAAGCATCCAAGAGAATCACGCAACTCAACGCACCTACAGTCCCGACATACTTCCTAAGTTGCGCAGGGCGAGAGGCTAAACCGCACACTCCCACTTTCACTTTAAGCTCAACTTGTAATCCCCAACGTAGACTGGGGAGCTTTTCCTAGAGAATCCCTAAGCTGGATCCCTGTAAGCCCCCCCTCACGATGTCTGTCTATCCCTGGGGGACTGAAGAGGCCCCCGCTGACTTTGACATACCCTAAGCCCTAAACCCGTTTAGGGTTCAGAGTTTAGGGTTTAGCTAGGCGGGAGGACAAAGGCTTCGAATCCTAACGCATGTGAGAGATTCTGTTGCTAGTCCATGGGGCCTAGATGCTATGGCATACGGATGACGGAAGGAAAGTTTTAATGGAAAAGCAACGAAACACACCTTGGCCTAAAACTCAAATCCCAACCCCTCCCTCATATCCTATATCCTAAGCCCCGCATCCTAAACCCTAAGCCCCAAACCCTAAACTAAACCCCAAATCCTAAACCTAAGCCCAAACTCTAGACCAAAATCCCTAAACCCTAAACCTAAACCCCTAAACCTAAACTCCTAAACCCCAACCCCCCTATGACCTCCCTTGGACCTTAAAACTATCCAAGGATCTCCGATAGCTCCTTCGAATGCTGCTCCAGCTCTGAGGCTTGCATCCCAAAGGCCCGGAATGAGTCAAGGATCTGTGTTTGGGGTGCAGAATAAAGGGTTTCGGGTTTAGGGGTTTAGGGTTTGGGGTGCAGGGTAGAGGGGTCTAGGGTTGAGGGTAGTGGGGTTGAGAGTTTTGGGCCTTTAGGGGGTTTGGGGTCTAGGTTTAGTTTAAGGGTGGAAGGGTTGAAGGGGAACCCTCAAGGGAGGTTCTAGGGACAAGTTAAGGGTTTAGGGCAAGCGGTTTTAAGGGGAGCTTCATTTCCCTACCGGGTCCGAGAACGTTTTTTTGGCGCTTCAGGGGTGAAGGCTTATAAGGTTCTGGCTGTAATCAGGGATGGTTCAGGATTGGGTAACCTGTGTCCATGAGTGCAGGTGCCGGGAACGGGATGTGAGGTTGCGCTGACTCGTCTTGCATGGCGGAAAGGTAGTTAACGAGCAGCCGCAGAAGAAACGGAGACTAGTTGAAGAAAAGGCCAGCAGTAGCACAACCCCATGTGAACTGCTGATGTCCAGTAAATTATGTGGAAATAATGACTGTAGCTCATGTAATTACTCTTCCTGGGGTGGCATTTGGAGGGGCTAAGCTTCAGCTGGAGGAAGCTTGCTTTTTGAAAATGTGTGCTGTCTTAGTTTGATGTTGCTGAACGTATTAGGAACCGTCGTAATTGGCAAAAACGTGGGAAGGCGGGGAGGCTTCGTGCGGCAACCTCCCCAGGCCTAAAAATGAGTGCGCAGCAGTAGACCCTAAAGCCCAAGCGGCTTCTGTTTTCAGGTGGGATGCCGCTGCGCGGGCGAGAGCTTGCGGGAGTACGATGGTTACAGCTTTGAGGACTTGGGCATTTCTGGTCCTTTTGAGGCTACCAGTGGCCAACACTATGTTCAAGAAGATGCATCCTACACATTCTGTGGCTAGGACGCGTTATTGCTGTTTTGAGCGCTTTTAGTGTTTGAGATGGCGTCAGGTAGTTCCCACTCTACAAAGACGATGTCAATCCCTTGCATATCTGGCATGGGGGCCTGTGGTTCTGACGTCCATGTGGTAGTCCCAAAACAAGGGGACCCTGATATACACCCCGAAATTATGGGGGACCGCCAAAAAGGTACCCTTAATTTTCGGAAACCCCCATGTTGCAAGTAGGCCAAGAGGCAGGCTCAAGAACACAGGCTACAGTGGCTGCGGTGAAACTGCGAACTGCCAAACATGCCAAGCTCTGTCCGCTTCAAGATGACTTCGTCCTGATAAGCTACTGGAGGACTACCAGAGCGAGTTTTCCAAGTCCTACCCTGCTAGCGAGTCGGAGCGAAGAAGAGCCATTTTTGAGGCGAACACATCCACGGGATTGGGCCTTTTTGAAAGGAGTTTATGGGGATTACATAGGCATAACGAGCTTCAGAATTGCAAAAAACCAGGGGGGGAGTCCTTATATTAAAGGATTTAGTATATGAAAGTTTATGCTGCGGCCCTGTATTTATGGAAACTCACATCCAGCTCAGGATTCGTTCCATTGTAAGTGTGAAGTCTTGGAGTTTAGGGTATCAGAGGCCCAGGGGTCTGCCCCATAAAGTCTTCTTGCTAGTGACCTCTCTACGGTCTTTGTCAACTTGCTCACAGCGGAAATGTGCGAGAAGAATGGTATTAGATGTGCAAATATCTAGCGAGCTAAGACTGCAAATGGTCTACCCTGGTCCTCTGCAGTAATCAAAAACTATTACCTAAACCCCAAAAGTATGTAAGATAATAGCCTAGCACCCAAAATAACAGCCATACATTTTACACACTTTTGGGGTCCAGGTACATGTTAAACTAAGCCGCAAAAGCCCAATTCTTAGCACCCTGAATCCTATTACGGAAGAGCTACAGGTTGCAGGCCTGCCATATATATTAATGCTACCTGTAAACCTGTCATGTGATAGCTGCTGCCTTTTTATCACTAACAGGTCCAGGAGCCACACGACACACAATTGGAGACTGGACCGGCAGGGCATTTTCCACAATTTGGAGGTCTGAAGGTTTGAAGGTTGGATGGACCGGAGACAAACTGAAATCTTGCTCAATTGCTGTGTCCATCCACCTCCATCCACCTCCACAACGTAACAAGTCAGATGGAGATGGTGCACGTAGCCACCGGGCCGCCCAAAAGAAGCCCCTTCCACCCCGCAGCCCATTTCTGAAGTTTAGAATGTCCAAGTTCTCACGTTCAACAAGTTCATATTGTGTGCAGACTCATCAGGAAGATTCAGTTGCATCAAGAGCATTGTTTTTTTTGTGTATCCTGGGTTTGACAGTGATGCTCTCAACTAAGAAGCTGCAACTGTGGGTAGCCGTCTGACATCTTAGGCCCCATTGTGGGAACCTGATTTCATCTGGATCCTCGCCTTGTGATCAAATATTCGAAAAGGAGCCACAACAAGAGTTGCAGTTGAAAGTAATGTAAGTACTTGCGCAGCTTTTGCTCAGGCAAACCTGCAGAAGGTCCGCGCGCACAACGCGGAATACAAGCTGGGCCCCCAGTGAGGGTGTTTCCAAGAATAAAGAAAAAAAAACTAAAGTTTTTCTAGGCCCTCAGAAAGAGGCTTCCAAATTTCGAAAACACAATCATTGCTCATCTTACCTCTGGTCTAGATTTGATGGCTTAGGGTGAGACTTTGGTTCACTGCGATGCAAGATTTCTCGGCTCTTTGGGTCAACACACAACACTCCCCAGCGCTAAAGGAATCTTCCAAGCGAGGCCCGATGTGTGTATAGTACCCAAAGGGGGGATTGATAGCATGAACTCTCCCTAAACCCTGAAACCCTTATATCCATAGACCCTAAACGGGATAGACAGGATGAACTTGAAGTACACCTGGCCTCTCCAGACTGGTTCGCTTCAACTTGGGACTTCTCATAGAAAAACATGGTCTACTCCGCTACAAGTGAGGGTTTCCCAGGATGAGGGGTACCGTCTTGAGGGTCCTGATGATAAGGATCATAGTATATTAGGGTCTAAATAACCCTAAGCCGCAAACTTACTAGGGTCCGTAGGGAATAAAGGAAACATCCTATATAGGGATTATATAGGGACTTTATTCCCCTGTTCCCTACAAACCCCACGAAGTAAACCCTAGCCTAAACCCTAAACCCTCTATTTATGGAAGCTGGCCGAGTGTAGTTCCGAGGATGGTGACATTGAAGTTTTAAACAACCAATTCACTCCACCCCCTTGTGAATGGTGTTTAGGGTTTAGGAAATATTATTTGTTGAAACTTTTTTGTAATCTAGCCCCAAGGAATTAGTTATTCAAGCTGACTCGGAAGTTCTTACATTTTTTTATTGTCGCATAACCCCAAGGAACTGTTAAGGATAGTGTCTTCTAGGTCTAAGCGGATTCCAGTAGAAAGCCTCCAACATTTCTGAGGGTCAGGCTTGGGCAGTATGCGAGGCATACATTCTGCTGTTTGTAAGTCTTCTACATCACTCCTTGCAAGTCTTCTGCACTTCCCCTTGCACGCGGGCTTGTCTTGATAAAGTGTGGCTTTCCAGGTTAGGAGTGGACGGCAAGTCTAATCTTCAGAAGCCTGGTCCCAGACTATACAGGCCCTCAAGTCTTACGAGAATGATTTCACATGCGGACGTGCATCTGCATATGAGCACCACCCGAAGCACTATCATCAAGACATAACTAAAACCCAGCAAGCCCCCTGGTTCCGACCCCCAGAAGCAACCCGCGCCCCACCTGCTAGGCACGGGCGCCACACCTGGTTCATGGCCATGAATGACCCGGGCCAAAGCAACATGTTGTTTGCTGATTGAGGGAGTGTCGTTGTGCTTGTGGCACGTTCAAGAAATGACATGAGCCCAACTTGCAGTGGAAGTCATGCATTTGGCCCAAGCACTTGCTGCATCTCTTAGCCGACACTTTTGCAGCTTGCCGCGGCCTGGCCAAAAGCTGCGTCAGCCGGTTAGTAGCCAATTCAATGGCGTATGTTGGAACAGACACGCTGAGAAGTTCAGAGCCGAGGTCTCCGTTGCTAGCAAGAAGCATGCAGCAGGCAGTTTCCGGTCCGAATTAGAGGCTGCTCATGCTTACGACCAGCGGCTACGAGAACTTTGTCAGGATCCTGTCCGGCTTAAGAAGTCTTTGAACTTTCCAACCCAGACTGAAGCTTCATTTACAGAAAGCCCTTCGGATGCACGTGCCCGCGGGCTTTCCGTCGGTGCTTTTACAGGCATGGCGGAAGCTGAGTCTTTCCGCCTCCTGCAGGCCCGTTTCAGCACATCAGGCCTAGCAACAACTTATGAAATCGTTCAAGTTCCAGGTGCGTCAAGAGTGGATGCAATTTTCCGCCCAAAGTCGTCCAGTGTTGGAGGCCTCTGTCTTCAGCTCAAAGCTGCCAACTCGTCGGGAAACCGGGGAATGTCCTACGCATTCAGACACACACAAGGCTATGCAGGAATGTTGCTTCTTCTGGTGCCTTTGGATCTGGATATTCTTTGGGCCGTCCCAGGCAGCCGGATTACTCAAACTGGTGTGCAAGTAACCCTCGGTTCGAAGCGCGACCGGTCATGGCGGGTGCTTGAACTTGGTCGCACTCTGGAGTGGTTTTTCCACCAGCCCGCAACGTTTCCGCATGTCACATTTTCTGACGCGGCGCTCCAAAGCTGCGAAGCCCACCTTCTAGAAGCAAAGGCCCACAACCTCATGGCCAAGGCTTTGTCATCAGTGAACTGTCACCTCATTCGGTCAGGTATTGCTTCTGCGCCTGTCGACTCAAGGATCAGGACAGGCATTCACACATGGGACGTGCAGGAGAAAGCTACTCGCTTGCACAAATCACGCAGCGTGGGCCGGTACATGGCCAATCTGTTTAGGCACGGTGGGGCTCTGGGCCGACTTGCGTATGATGAGCATGACTTCGATGTGTTGCTGGTAGCCATCTTGGAGGGAGAGGCCTTGCTCGGCATGTTTATGTTTCCCGTCCATGTGCTTGCAGCACGTGGTCTAGTGGGACACAAGCCCATGCAGCTGGCCTTGTACCCGCCATGGAAGCTGCCTGCCAAGAAGGGCTGTAGACTTAAACAAGCATGGCAGCTGGATTACTTCATTGGCTTACAGGACTGGGATGGAGATTCATCTCTCTGCAAGCAAGCACAGAGCCGTCTACTCGAGCTGGTGCAAAAACTGCCACTAAGAAAGAATACCTTTTGCAGGAGCGATAGCAGGATGGACGGAGACGGAAAACAGGTGCCATGCATAGTCGTACAGTGTCAGAAGATGCCAATTCCGTCAATACGATAACAGATTACGAATCTCTTGACCTGCAAAGGTTTCTACCAGCATGCTCGGCCACTAGTTTCGATGCCATTCGTGTCAGACCATCCCACGAAGTGTATTTCACTCAGAAGCATGGAAGGAATTGCGAGGTGTTGGTACAGATGTGCACAACTGAGCGACTTTTTTCTTCTCGCGTCGTTCCCATGAATCTTTCAGATGTTCGGAGGTTGGCTTTGGGCTTGGGGCTTGCATAACGAGTGCTACAAGACAGCGTACCAGGGTTTCGCTGCAAGGTTTAAGAGGAATAGAGGGCAGGGAGCACACAACATAGATGCACCGGGGTTAGGATTCAGGGTGTAGGGGTTTAGGGTTATGCTAAGGGGCGATTCCGGGATCTGTGGGTTTGAAACGGGGGCTTTGCTTTGGGCCGCAGGATCTGGCGGACCTCTCAGAGGAGGAGTTCAGCAGCAGGCCTGTCAAAGTAGGCTTCACTGCAATAGGAGATAATAGTAGTAATAGTAGCAATATTATTAGTAGCAATACTAACAGTCATACCAATAGAAATAGTAGTAAGAACAGGAATGATTGCGCTGTGTGACCTAGGGCATCAGGATCAGGGTTGAGTAGCGTCGTCCACAATCATCTCACGCCTGCATGCTTCATAATTCAAGGGTTATTAGGAGGGACCCCGAGAAAGGACCCTTAATCCCAATACCTTATATAACCCTTATATAGGCCTCGTATACCCCTTTTATAACTAGGTAGTACCCCTATTACCCCCAATAAGCTACAGGGGTCCCTAGAACCTAGAATAATGCTTTGTGCGTATGCGCGGGCTTGAGCCACTTCAGCCTCGAAAGTTGGGGGAAGGAGTATCTGTGTCATGTGTGATGGAGTACGTAGGTGATAGCTTCTAGATCGCACGCGGCTTGAGGCACTCTGAGGAAGGTGGACGTAAGGAAGACTTGACCTTCACTTCCTTCAGCCATAGCACAGACAGCTTGAAGAACGTATTGATGTGCTAACAGTACAAACCAGAGTTGCAGAGTGACCGAGACGACTGCACTGCACCGGCAAGGCAAACCTTTTACTTCATATGAGTTTCTTCAGGCCCCTAAGGGCCCCATCATGTGGGGTTCCTAGCAAGGGTTTTTTCAGGATCATGCTGAGGAAATTCAGTGACCTTGAAGGACAGTAATCTCTGCAGGACCCCCTACGCGCCATCTCAGTTTGGAAGAGGGTATCTGGGGTCCGTGGATGATCATGGGATTTAGTCATTGGTTTCCACTCATTGCCCAGTCGCAGTAGAAGCCCCCCACGTACACTTCCCAAGCTTAAAATGATCGGTATGAGTACAATTACACTTAGCAACTAGCTACCACGGAGCCTCAAGTAAACCCTTTCAGGTTAGTACACCCTGACCTGAACAAATTCCTCTCTGCGTGACTCACCAACTCTAAGCCGTTTTTAAGTTATAGTAAGTTACTATGGAGATGGAGAGTTGATGCTGAGCGACAAGCCCAAAGCCGACCATCTAGGGGAAAGCCCAAATCATAATTGGGAAATGCCGCATGGTCATTTCTAGCTCACTATTGATGACGCTCGTGTTTTGTAAGATGCCTACCTAGCGCCTAACCCCAAACCCCTTAAATCATCCCATGTTTCATGTCATGTTCCGTCTCCTTTTCCTGTTGACTCTCGACTGTTCTCTGAATTTTGATAACAGTACACATCACAATCCTCCTAAATGGACTTCTGTAGGTTGCCCCAATGATAAATGAGCCCACTTTTTCCGCAAGTAGTGATCCTGAAAAAACAGGGTTGCTGTTCAGGAACTTAAATACTGTCCATTTCATTTTCCATATTCTTTGCCATTGGATTTTCCATTATAAGAGGGAATATACCATCATAGGGGGAGAATACAGGAACCCCCCCACAAATTAAGTTCCTAAACCCCAAACCCTAAACCCTAAACTCTAAACCCTAAACCCAGAAAAACAGGAGCTCCACAAAGCTGGGCCGTCCCGAAGCCCGGACGACGCTCCAGCTGGAGGCTGAGGCCTCGCCTACAACAGGGGCCTAAATGATTACCAATATAGGGTTTGGGGTTTAGGGTTTAGGGTATAATTACCAATATTTTGAGGTCCATTTGAGGTTCCATATACTATAATTTTACAAGGAGTATGGAACGAAAATATTGGTAATTATTTAGGCCCCTACAATAAGTTGCTGTGAAGGAGCTTAGAGTATATCAGGGTTGAGGGGTTTAGTTTAGGATCTAGGGTTTGAAGTCTATAGGGTTTAGGGGTTTAGTTTTCGGTTTATAGTGTTTAGGGGTTTAGTTTAGGGTTTAGGGTTTAGAGGTTTAGTTTAGGGTTTAGGGGTTTAGGGTTTAGGGTTTAGGGGTTCAGTTTAGGGTGAAGGGTTGGAGGTTCAGGGTTTGAGAAATAGGGTTTAGGTTCTGGATAGGGTTCAGGCAAAAGAGGTGGTTTTGGGTTTACGGTTTTGGGTGGGTTGCTGCTGAGGAACTTCAGTGAAATTCCCACTTGTGGAGATTAAATGGCAAAGAGCATGAAGTATGAAATGCAAACCGGGGTGGGGGGGACCGGGGTTCAAGAGACTATAATCGGTTGCCATACTACTGTTTGCTATATTATGGTAACTCATGTTAAAATGTTTGGCAACAACCCAGTTTCAACAACATGGCACGGAGCAGAAACGACAGCTGGTGCTTTTGTTAAGGTGGAGGTTGTATAGGGACTACTAGAGGGTCCATCCTCCAGAGCTTACTAATAATAAACAGGTTTTGGTAACCCCAACCCCCAAAATTCGGACAATATGACTATCATATGATGGTTATAGGGTCCTAATTTTGGGGGTTGGGGTTACCGGAAGTCCGTCATTAACTAACCACCAGCAAATTTAGGATTCAACGAGGGAGGGTGAGCGACATTGTAGGAATAAGACAGGTGTATGTTGCCCAATGTTTGACTTGTGTTGAAGGTCAACTGCTGGGCTCTGGGCTCTGCAACCCAGTTAGAGGTTAGGTGGACCCCCCCACCCAGTAGTAGTGACTATAAGGGAAAATAGGGATTATATACTAGGGTCCTATTATATTCCTATTATACCACTATTACAGGGTGGGGGGGTCCTCCTAAGTTAGAGGTGGTGGAAATCTAGGGGTTTAGGGTCCCCTTCGGCTCCAAGTCTATAAGCAGGACCTACATTGAGCCCCAAAATCTAGCAAGACTACATGAATTTGGCCCGTGTGAGTCCCTTGTGATTTTGGAAGCCCTATAACTCCTAAGCCCTAAATCCTAAACCCTAAACCCTGATTCCTAAACCCTAAGCCCTATAGCCCCTATAAATCTTAAGATATCTTAAGAGATTTGCAGGCCGACAAGCCCAACCCAACCGCAATGGACTGGCGCAGCAAGGGCGTGGTGACCGCCGTGAAGGATCAAGGCTCGCGTAGGGGCATTTTTTGGTGAAGCAAGAGAGGTCCATTTTGGGGGTACCCGTAATGAAGAGTATAATCGTATATTAGGGCAGATCCCCCGCCATTTGTGGAACTGATGGCTTAGGGATGTTTGAGGCTTAGCGGATTTGGCAAGGTGGATGAAGGAGCTCTCGCATGTATCGGCCCAAGTGGCATAAGATTTCCTGCATCAAGTTTTGTCAGCCATGTTAAGAGAGGGGCCTAAACAATTATCAATATTATGGTTCCATATTCCTTGTATAATTATAGTATATGGTACTTCACATGGACTTCAAAGGGAAATTGGTAATTATTTGGGCGCCTGTAGTATTTCGCCATCTTTACCTGGAACGCAGCATTTAAGGTAAAGTCAGCAAATAGTTGGGCTTGATCGCCAAGACTCACTCGCCCTAATGACTTAATAGTTCTGAAGGCCAAGAGGCATAATGTAGGGGCCGAAATAGCTGCCTACATAGTCCTCCATAACTCTTATGTGTTGACGGCGTAATAGACCCCAGGCCCCGTTCTAATTTAATGGGCTCCTACACTGCCCCCAAGACCTTACAGCTTGTATGCTGCTGACTTGCAGGCCAGCTGTAAAAGAATGAGTAGTATTTTATTTGGGGGTACTATGGTACCCAAGATGGAACAAGATTATATCCTCCTTTTGGGTATAGTATTTGATAGACTGAATATACCCTTAATGGTTTCAACCACCAAAAACGTTATTGAGTTGCTCTTCGAGATGCAGAGTGCGGGCCAATGGTTTAGCCTGCTTTGCAAGAAGTAAGTCACTAGAGAATTTGAGGTTCCATGTAATATGTATTAGGGTCTCTTGGGATGCATCCTGGGGTCCCCCCTGTTTATGGAAGACTAGCATATTAAGAGAATATGTTGCACCACCCGCAGCGTCTACAGTACATCAGCTCCAATGCGTTCAGGGGTTCGGAAAGGTCTAAGCGTCTTAAAAGGGGGGGTTACCTAGGGGAGTATTACAGGGGTTATTCAGGGGAGACTCGGAGCTTAGACTATAGCTCAGATAGAGCTCGGATTGAATTCCAAGCCCAACATGCACGAAGGTGGATGTGGGTCTTGCTGGGCATTCTCAGCAACTGAGACTGTGGAATCCCACTATGCTCCTCGCTTGGAAAGTTCATGATCCAATGGCTTTTTAGGGATCAGGGTTTAGGGTGCTTGTCTAAGGCAGTTTCCGTAAGGTCCTGCAGACTACTGGCTGCTTAGTAGAGAATGAGGGAATCAATCCCAATAGTAGCCCCAATGCAAGCACCCAGAATAGTCCCTGCATGATCCAGTCCCTACGAAGCACCAGGGAGAAGAGCTTAAGCCAGATTCGACGCAGGATGGATGAAGACGAGGGTGCCAATTCAGAGAGCTCGTGTATTAATATTCTCGGGAAGGCTTTGTTTTGTTTAGTAAGGCTGCTAGTGTGAAGACCAGCACTTCCTACTTGCTTTGAGCCAACTTGCTTTCAACAAAACCCTAAACCCTAAACCCTAAACCCTACAGTTGATGATCTGTGCGCTCAACCTTGGCTGGTGCTTTGACACTTGGGGGTTTCCCTAGATTAGGGGTACCTTTTTGGGGGTCCCCATAACAAGGATTATGGTATTTTGGGGTTATATTGGGGTTCCCATATTAAGGGAAATTACCACTTAACTAATGCTGGAGAACATGACTTGAGGCCGGAGAATAAAACAGGAGTCTAGGGTATAGAGTTGCTTTCCAAGGTGCATATGAAGCAGGTGCCACTCAAAATAGTCAGGGTAAGTTGGCGATATTCAGCTGTCGGAGATGGACCATCGTGCTCTAGGGTAGGAGAGGGCAACCCTAAACCATTGTCAGCCTATCCTGGGAGTAGAAATCCTTAAGAGTCCAAGTACACCAAAAAAAGGGGTTCTAGGTACCAAGAACCATGGGTGGGCCATAATATTTTGGAGTCTATATCGGGGTCCCCTTAATTTTGGAAACTACCATTTGGTCCCTAAGACCCCGTGCTTGAGGTGCTTGGACTCTAAGGGTATATGTGGAGGCCTGGTTTGGTTCTTGGATCGGGACAAGCGTGGCAGAAGGGGCCCCCATAAGAGTAAGAAGGATTACAGCATTGTTGGGGTCCCCCCCCCCCTTATTGATACGACTACTATTACTGAATATGACTGTTATTATTGATAGTATTAAACAGTATATCACTACTTAAAGATTTTTGGAAATTCCTGTATTGGAAACATGTTAGTACCACACCGACTGGCATGTTGCTTGCCAAAGAGGCATGCTCTCCTAGCTGACAAGCCCCGGCCCCAACCCTGTTACACGAATCCTGGTTGTCTGCATGAGCAGGGATATTGTGGTTGTTTGGGTTGCGCGAGAAGATTGATCTTAGTTTTTTTTCTGCGGGTACATCTAGAAACACAATTGTTTTTGAATTAAACACTATATTCCGCACATTTCCAAGTTGTTCATGGGAGTGTCTCCTTACCACCTGAAGGACTCATACCCGCTAAGGTACTGGAAGCTTCCTTGTACACTGCCTACATCGGATATCCATTTGCAGCCCTCTCTAGGGATAGGCTCCCTGTACTGCTTCTCAGGTCTCTTGACACTTGGTACAGCGTATGCGCATCTGCATATTGAGAGCAAGGCTAGTCAACTTCCCGGTGTTTTTCGGTTCAGCTAGGCGGAAGGATCAGAATGTCAAGAATGTGGGCCAGCTTGAGTGGTGTCCCTTGAGGGTAGGCGGGGTCCTTGAGAGTAGTATTGGTAGACTGTAAGCCTCCAAGCCCTCCAACCCCTAAACTCTAGCCCTCAACACCCCTCATTAATTCATCGTACCCTAAGATTTCGGCACTGAATTTCGTGTTATTCAATGAGGCCATCCAATCTGGCAAGTTGCTCACTCTGGCGCCTCAGACCTATGTGGACTGCGTGGAGAATCCCCAGGAATGCGGAGGTGGGAGCCTTGAAGAGGGCCTCATGAAAGAGGTCTGCAGCCTACAAACACCCAACCATCATGCTCCATGCTAGGATTTGGAGACTAGGTCATGCGTTGAAAAGTCATGCTGACAGTTCCAGGTATTGCCTGGCCCTAGCGAACAAGCTTGTCCATGTTATGGCCCTGCTTCCTAACCGGTACTGGCACACATGACTTTGCAAGGTGCACTCGCATGGCGACGCGGGTCTGATGTAGATCATATTCTAGCAGCCGTAGATGTGGTAAGTACGATTCCCTGTTTAATCGCAGTTCATGGCACGCAAAAGACTAGTTAATTATTCTGTGCCATTCCCAGAATTCGAGTCGTCATAAAAGCCTCAGGTACTCACAGACCCAAATGTCTGAGGTTTGTGGCTCAAAGCTCCATCATGCCGTACATGTAAGTGGTAATTTAGGGTTTAGGGCTGGAAGACGGGGATGAGCGCCTTCATTTCTAGCCTCGGGGTGCAAATCCACGCCGCCCAACCTGGGTTGTTGTGACGGAACTTCAGGCTTATGTTATTAGTAGTAGAATTTCGAGGAAACTACCTTATCCACGGCATCTCCATTTTACATGGCAAGAACTGAACGTAACGTTCCTTACCAGCAACCCACCCTGAGGGTCCAAGGGCCCAAATAATATGGCTTCAAGGTACCTAAAGCCCCAATATTTTGGTAATGTAAACCCCTGATTCCTAAACCCCCTATTTTGGAGAGGGGGTTCATTATTCAGGGGTCTGGGTTGCTTGGACGCTTATGGCCAGAAACCCTGCAGGAACTGGCGGCTGCGAGGGGGCCACCATGGAGCTTGCCTTCAACTTGACCATCACAAAGGCCATTTCTCATGGGTTTAGTGCTTAGGGTGTAGGGTTTAGGGTTTGGGGTGTAGGGTTTAGAGTTTCGGGTTTAGATTTTAGAGTTTAGGACTTGGGGTTTAGGGTATTGGTGTTCCCTTGCTACCCCCTCTATACTAGCAGCACAAGGGTTCCCCTTGGTTAGGATTATTTAGGGGAGCTAACCATGGTATTTTGACAGACCAATCGGGATTATGGGCCCAGGGTTAGACAGACAGGTGGAGAATCGAATGTGGAATTGGGAAATTGCATGGGAAGTCAAGCTTAAGCCAGTGGATTTCGTGCGGAGATGGGCTTCAGGCCGATAAAGACAGCGTCTAGGGTTTGAAGCGGCCATTTGTGAGCTACTTCACCCTACTTCATAGGGAAGTTTGGTAGCTTTCATAAATAGGGGGACTCCAATACAAATCCCAGCATGGTAGAATCCATATTCTCGGGACCCCCAAAATGGTGCCCCTAATTTCGGGAAATTCCCAAATCTACAACACCTCCTGAACATAACCTTGGCCCTGACCCAGGGCATCGCTCTTGAGACCAGCATGCCTTACAAGGGCAGGGACGCTTCCTGCCCAACCTACACCCCAGCTGTGAAGGCTTCTGGGATTTTAGAGTTGAGGCCTTTGAGAATCATGGGTTTCAGGGCCTTCAGAGTTCAGGGCTTAGGGATGTTTAGGGTCTAGGTCATTGGGAGTCTTGGCTTGGAGTTGGGTTGCGGGAATACACTTCTGGGTTACGACCTTGGATCAGGCTCTGTGGGCCTCAGGGCAGAAGGTACGATTTCATCAGAGTTTAGGATAGAGGGTTGAGTCTTGGTAGGCTTGAGTCAGTATATTTAGAATTCAGGGCTTGAGAGTCTGCTGAGTTCTGCGGCAAAGGTTATACTGGGACAGCATGATGGAGGTCATCAGCACACTTGTTGCAGCCCCCACCGCAACACTTTCTGAACGACGGACTGAGCTATCGTATTGTGTGAGGGTTATCCCTCCGCTCCACTGCATGACTAGCAATACATGTTGTTGTGTAGCTGTGAGTACTTTGCTCATCCGTCTTATGTTTTTGTGACTGTCACACATAGGTCATCTTTGAAACCTTCTCTTGTGGTGAGGTTTCTTCCTGCATAGGATGGTTGAGGTTCAAACTGCCAGAGTAAGATGCCGGCCTAGGGTTGCTTGCATGCATTGGTCGATCGCGAAGAATCAGGATGCCCAAAATGCCCAAAAGTTAAGGGGGTCTCACTCAGAATGATGTAAACTTTTATGTCATCCTCTTCCCACCTCTGTTTTTCAATCCGCACTGCGCTTTCTCAGGCCTCCGCCTACGTGAGGCTCCCCGTCAATGACGCCTCCGCGTTGGAGCCACGCCTGCTTTCAGCCGCAGCCAGCTTGTGGGTCTTCCATGTTAGTTAGTAGGGATACAGGCATGGAAATATCATGGAAACTAGTAGATTACTGCGGTGCTACAAAAGTTCGACTCACGGACTTACTTGCCCTTAGACGGTCCTCGTCAACTCCAACTTGTCCCCCCTCTATCCCCCTAGACTCCTACACTGGTTTCCTGGGGCCTCCTCCGGAGCTTTAAAG